ATGATTCACATAAAGACAAATAATGATTGCTTTACAACAATTGAAAACGGACGACACAAGAAAGAAAAAAAAGCCCGAAACTGACACCGGTTTTCTTCAATAAAAATCTGACAAAATTCACCTTGTTAAATGCCTCTTTCTCTGATTGTTGCAGAAGAACACTGATGGGATCTTTGATAAGACCTACAAAAGATTAATGAATGCTAAATTCCTAACTTCCGAGAAAAGTTCTTGCCAGAAGATTGTATGCCCCATATAGAAATCAATGGAGACAGAAACCTTGTCTACAGTGAAGTTCTCGCATAAGAGCCAAGACTACCAAATAACATATTCTAAAGCTAAACTGATCTTTAACCTATGTCCCTACGCTTTATTCAACCCCCAACTGAAGTATGCCAAGAAAAAAAAATCGATACTATACAGAATTCATTCAATTAAGTTATAGTAGGGGGAAAAAAAAACTTAGAATAAACGGGCAGAGGTTGATGTCAAAGACAATTTCGGAACAAATCAAACTTAATTGAAATCTTCGTACCATTAGACTTGGCTTTCACATCCAATTTCTTCACCTCTTCATCTCCCAAAGCTCGGCAGAATTTCGCATAAACCCTCTCTCCTCCGTCCGGTGCCGTGATCGGAAAGCACTCCCCGTCAATCTCAGAAGCGTATCTAAAAACTCCAATAAAGAGATTACGAAAAAAAAAATTTCAAAAAAATTCCGAGTCGATATGTCTGGTGAGCAGTAGTAACCTGGAAAAAATAGTCTCCGGAGGAATGACCTCTTCTTCTTCCTCCACAGCATGGACGACTTCCTTAACCGGCGAGGGTCGTAACCAATCCTCGTCTTCCATTTCTACCCGATTATCGCCAATTTTGCTTCTCTTCTCAGAAGCTGGAGAGACTTCATCGAGATTGACAATCGGATCGGACATTAGACTCCTGGGTCGTTTAATACCGTTGATCTCAGGAGAATCCGGTTGTTGGACATGAAGCTCCTTCTGCGCGACGCGCTCTTCTTCTTCTTTTTCTTCATCGTAAGGATACGGCGCCTCCTCGAAGTTTAGGTAGTCATCTTCTTCTTCAGGATAGTAAGAGTTGGCTTCGAGAAGCTCAAGCTCCTCCGGCAATGGGATATCGAATTCCATTTTCTGATATGAACCGGCGGATCGGAATTTTGTGGGGTCAGTGTGCGGAAAAACAGAAGTGGCAAATCAGAATCTGGTGGTGAGCTTGAGCGGGAATGAAAAAGTGTTTTTAGCGGGAAAGCTGTGGCAGCTGAATCTCAAAGTAGGTTTTCGGCCCATTACGGCCCATTACATTTTCGGCCCATTACGTTTTCGGCCCATTTCATTAAAAGAGATCGATTTGTCAAACTCTTACACTTAAAATTTGCATAAAGTTTTCGTGTTAATTTCATTGTTGTACGCATGAATGGAATAAAAATAGGAGATACTGAGAAATCTACGTACGATTGTCTTTATATAAACTCGTTCGTATATAATTGAATGTTTGAATTTAAATATTAGCGAATCATTCATGTACACGAGATAACTTCTTATTGTAAAGTTGGTAAGTGTAATTAGTTCAAGAAATGTCTCAGAGCAAAAGTTACAAGTCACCACGAAAATATATCATATTTAAATATTCTATTTATAACATATGATTATCCTAGCACAGCTAAGACAGTCATCAATCGGCAAAATCATTTAATAGTTTTCGATCTCTTGGCAAATACTGGTTCGCAAGGGATCAAAATGTCATCAGGTGCAAGCAATATAGGAAATGTGTAGCATACATATATGTCTATCTATACAAAACCAATTCAAGCAGAAACATTAGAATGATGGTAGAACAATAAAAGAAAAGGCAGTACCGAATGAGAAAGATCTCAGGGGATTTTGAATTTTCTGGGCTTAGCACTTGAAACCATGACAAACTGAGAGCACGATTATGAGAATGAGTGCGACAATGATGGCCAGAACAATGAGTTTTATCTTCATGTTCTGAAGCCACATCTTTCTTCTCATCTGCGTCCCCGTTGTTCTGAAATCTTGTGCCTGTAGCAATTTGTTTAATCAAATACGAGATAAGACAATATGGTGAACAAGCTTTATATTTGTATTTATGTGTGAGTGTGTCGACATTTATACCATTATATGTATGCACGATGCAGGGACATTAAAATGTATGCAAGAGATAGCTGCATGAGAGACTAACCTGAGAGCGAAGGTTTTCGGTTTTGTCCACTAAAAGCTCAATTTTCTCACCACGGTCAAGAACCTGCAAATGAATTATAAGTTTCTAATATGATTTTACAGGAAAACATGTGTTACATTGGTAAAAACGGACATTTTCCAAGATGTGATGCATTCAATAGATACCAAATCAAGAGACTTCAGTAATTTAGTATTACTACGTTTCGCAAAAGGGGCATGGGTTAATCATATATATATTGACAGAGAGAAAGGCATGGAAACCAACCTTCTCGATGTTTTCCATCATAACTCCCTTAACTTCTGACACTTGCGCCTTCACCTTAGCAAGCTTGCTAATCTCATCTGGATGATCCATACAATACTGCATGTGCTCTTTCAGCTTAGAGCTTCAAAGTAACAAAAAAGAGTCAGTCCAAGAGTATTATGGAAGAGAAAATCGACAGAGGAAAAGAAGAGAGACAAAGAATGTACCCAAACTCTTTATTCAAGCTGTTTGCTTGAGCAGTTGCAGCCTTTCCACCACCATATCTCTTGTTAAAATCCTCTTTTACTCTTTCCAGAAAGGCCATCGGAATCTGCCGCCCAGCAGAATCAACCGCAACAACACAATAGGCTGCACAACAAAGAACAAAATTAAATCTCATATAGCGGATACAGCACAAGACTTTCCCTTCCGGGATAATCAGGTGGCACTGATATAATATGGCTACAACGAAAGGATTTGTCACAGAAAGATTACAGTCCGACCCCTAGATTCATTGAGAATAAAGCCAGTCAAAACCCATGACTTAAGAAACAATAAGCAAATAAGTTATGCAAATCAAGCAACCAGTAAAAACCGTATCCAGATCGATGTTGGTGTTCTTCCAACCTACAATACCACGGATCCATCGAAAACTGAGCAAAAACTATAAGTAAAAGTGAAGATAGCTATTGCAATTGACAGATACAGATCTAACCCTAAAAGCTTGGTACAAGCGGCTACTGAGAGAAATCAGAATACTCAAAAATGCACAAATCAACACGAGCCGATAGATAACGTAAGGCAAATACGCAGTGAACAGACAAAACACAGACAACCCGAAGAAACCTAGACGCAAATCGAGGCAGCAAGCACCGAGTGGTGTAAAACGTAAAAGAATACATTCAAAACCTGTGTAATAGATCAAAACGATAATGACTTACTGAATCCATCTTCGACGAGGTAGTTGAACGTGTGACCATCGCAGTTGTAGGTGAACTTGTTGTTCGAAGAAGGGAGCTTCTGGAGACACTGAGCAGCGATGGAGGTAAAATTACCTTTGAAATCAGTGAACTCGACGAGGATCACCGTGCCGCGAGCGACGAAACTGTAGATCAACGATTGCTGCGCCATTTTCCTTACCCTAAATCCTCGATTCGATTCGACCTGATCTACCGTCTAACCAGAGAATTTTATGGGCTGTCGCGAAGAACTACAGATCTAGAGGACTTAACAACAACGAAACGAGGACTAAAGTGGGAAAGGGAGGAGAATAAAGTAGAAAATGAGTTAAGGGTAAAGTAGTCATTCCACGCTATCAAAATGGGGTAATAGGAGATATTATTAAACCTTATGATCGAAGTAATAGAGAAATTTTGGACCCATTTTGTTGCCCGGATCCGGCCAAGAAGCTCGTGGACCCTGCGGATGGTGAAATCGTAATTACCAATCACAGAACAAGTTCAGGTCCTATTGTCGAAGAGAAACACAGAGTTTGTCTTTTTCAAAAATTCTTCTTTTTTTTTTCCCAAATCCAGCATTGATCACAGTCTTAGTTCAGTCACAAATTCGAACAACAGGTTTTAACAGGGAAACAAATGAAATTGTAAATTGTAGTAGATTGAGAAAAAAGGGTAAAGCAAAACCAAGGAGGTTTCAAATTCAAATATTTACAATGAAAGTTTCTTATAATAATAGAAAAAAATCTCTTAACGGTTAAAACTCATCAAAACTACTAATCAGCATTCACACATTTTCATTCTTTTTTTACTCTCTTTATTTAAAAATAAAATAAATGGGTTCAGTTTTCTTGCTGAGGAAACAAAGAGCCATAAGAGCAATTAGGTTTTTCTTTGTAATGAATTCAAGCCCAATACAAATTCCTGTGCCATATAATTTACAAGGTTTTGATTTACTTCAATCGTATTCGTATCCGATGTGGGATATCTGCATATCCACATTCGAATTCCTCTGCATTTGTCGGGGGCATTTTTTGCTAACAGCTAAACTTTGTACTCACGTGCTCCTCAATGATTTATCAACGATCAAACTCAACATCAGATAATGTAAACTTTTGTAGTTTGGTAAGAAAACATAAAGTTAGGTTGCGGTTAGAACTAAGAAGGATCGGTTGGTGAATTGGAGTGCAATTAAAGGTCATATTGTTGCAACAAAATTGTCAATTAAACACTCTTTAAGTAACATACATTTAATTGTTTAAATTTAAAATTTGCATATGTAAACTAACGAGTCAGATTATAAAAATTATAATAACTCAACATCGCTTGAAATGTTTCCAGTATACATACATTTTTATCATTGAATAAAGTTTTAAGGTTTATCGAATCCATGTTAAAAAAAATTATACGGTCAAAGGTTGGGGATTTGAATTGAAATCGAAACACTGTAGCGTAGAGAGTTAAATTTCCTTTTAACTTTTATTTTTTTCTAAATAAATAAAAAATTTGAACGAAAACACTGTTTCTCGCGCAAATCCAGCGTTCTCATTTTGTTTCTCTTCTCCGATCTCTTCGTCTTCCTCTCTCCGTCTCTACCCCTCGTTACTTGTTTTTTTTTTTTACATCGTTTACTAATTTCTCTGAGCGGATTGTGGTGTTCATAGAGTTTTATTTTTTCAACTGGAAAAAAAGGAAAAATGGGACAACAATCGTTGATATATAGCTTCGTGGCTCGCGGCACGGTGATCCTCGCCGAGTATACAGAGTTCAAGGGCAATTTCACCTCCGTCGCCGCTCAGTGCCTCCACAAGCTTCCGTCGTCAAACAACAAGTTTACCTACAATTGCGACGGCCACACTTTCAACTATCTCGCTGACAATGGCTTCAGTAAGTCTCTCATTCCGATCTCAACAACGTCCTCATGTGGGATTTGTGCCGTGTTTTTCTTTTTATCCCTCGATGATTTCCTTTTATGAATGCTTAGTTTCGATCTATATGTCCATATTGATTGCACTCGATATATATTCTTGTGGAATTGTTTACACATTATGTAAATACTTATTCTCCGATTCATATTTAGAAAATTTCTGGCAAAATACATCAACATTTTCATTTGTCTAGAAGCATTGGGTTCTATATCCATTGTCTATAAGCATTTTTTATGGACACCTTGTTTAAAGCCCAGAGCTTGTTTGTTTTTGGTTTACGGCGAAGAATTAGTGTAAAGTCTGTGTTTTTGGAAATTCTGTCTGAGGAAACCAATGAATCTATTTGCTTTAGATGGAACCAATGTGACATAAAGATTTTCATTGTCTCTGTGTTGCTATGCAGCCTATTGTGTCGTCGTTGTTGAATCTGCTGGGAGGCAGATACCAATGGCTTTCTTGGAGCGAGTCAAGGAGGATTTCAGCAAGAGATATGGTGGTGGCAAAGCTGCCACTGCTAAAGCTAACAGCTTGAACAAAGAATTCGGGTACGTTTTGGCATGAAAAACCAGCGTTTTAAACGAACAAACAGTTAAAAATATCCAATTCCATCTCTGTGGTGGCTTTGTTGCATTGAAGGTCTAAACTGAAGCAGCACATGCAATATTGCGTGGATCATCCTGAGGAGATTAGCAAACTTGCCAAGGTGAAGGCTCAGGTGACTGAAGTGAAAGGTGTTATGATGGAGAACATTGAGAAGGTTTGAAATGATTACACGCACATGATTAGTCCACAAGTGTGTTTGATAGACATCCCTTATGACCAAAGCAATCCGCTTCTGTAAGCTGAAATTCTGCAATTCATTCCTGTGGCAGGTCCTTGACCGTGGAGAGAAAATCGAGCTATTAGTAGACAAAACTGAAAACCTTCGCTCACAGGTTAATAACTACTTCCCTAATACCCACTTGCATATACATACATGGCCTGGATATAGTGGTAACATGGCTGGTTCATGCTCTTGTGTTTCTGAATATCTTAAAAGGCGCAAGCTTTTAGAACACAAGGAACAAAGATGAGAAGAAAAATGTGGCTAGACAACATGAAGATAAAGCTCGTAGTTTTTGGCATCATAGTCGCTTTGATTCTCATCATCTTCTTGTCGGTTTGCCATGGCTTCAAGTGTACTTAAACTCGATCCCGAGCAATTTATCAGACCCACATTTGCTTCTAAGCTCATTAGGTGTAGTTATCCCCTTTTTCTCTTTTCTCTTTTCTCTTTTCTTGTTTTCTCTTTTCTAATAGGCAGAGAAATTTACTCGGTACCTCACTGATCCTTGGGAGATCAAATCTTTGGAAGATAGATTAAAGCCTTCTAGTTTGTGCTTATTTTAGGTTAGGCCTTATGTTGTTGTTATCTAAAATTCTATGATCGATATATGATTACTCCAATCTTTCAGTCTAACAAAATTGACCCTTTATTTGTTAGTATTTCTATATCAATGAAAACCATCAAATATTTGATATAAGATACACCAAAAAAAACAGCTTACAAGAAGTAAACTACATTTGTTCTACACCAAAAAGTTCCTATTCAGTATGAAAAGCATCGATCCAAACACAAGAGAATCATCAACAAGCCAATTGATCTCTCAGTGGTAAGATCTCTTCGAAAATCGGAAGTCTTCTCGTCCTATAAGGCCTCCTCCATTCCTTGACAAATTCATCAAGCCCTTCGACAACAGCGATCTCATCCATACCAACTTCACATTCCACAGACACAGAAGCGAAAACAGCTGCTTCTTCTTCACGTGAATCTAGCTCACTCAACAGCTCTTGAACTCGAACCTTCAACCTCGAATCAACAAACCCTTGTTTGTTCTCCTGTAACACATCTCGAAGGAGAATCGATCTCGCCTCATTGTGCTTGCCTTGCTTGATGAGACATGTGCATAAGTTACAAGCCTTGTTTGCATCTGGCTCTATCACCTGAGCTTTACGGTACACGGTTTCAGCCGCTGTATAGTCTCTTAGCTGCATGTAAGCCCATCCCAAGTTTCCCTATTGACACAAATATCATTCATTCCCATCAGCTCATTTGATCAAGTAAACCTCAGAAATCTATAATCAAAACTAAAGACTACTGAGATAAATCGTGTACGTACCAAGATCCTAGAGGTTTCCTTCTCGACCGTGACCTGGAATTTCTTCCCATGAGATCTCGCTGTCTTTGTTGGCTTGCCATTGAATGCTTCTCCTTGATATATCATCCAAAGCTTTTGCTTCAACAGCTCAACTTGCTCTTCTATTCTCCCACATTTCTGCTCAAAGTTGGGATCCCAATTTTGTTTAAATTTACAATCTTAAGAACAATAGCCAGACAGGAGAATGATGTCGGTGAGAGGTTTTTATACCTTGAAGAGATCGATGAGGACATTGTCGAGTGATTCTTGAGCTTGTCTAGAACAAAGATCTCTGAAAGACTGAATAGCTTCAATAGCTTCCTCTGCCCTGTTCTGTTGTTTCATTAGCAACGCCATGTCTTTAAGAGCACTGTCCACTCTGTCTCTCGCTTTAATCGCTTTCCAAAACAACTCTATCGCTGCTTCCGCATCTTTCTCCACAAGCTGACCAAAACATTTCCAATTTCAATCTCAAAAATTTAGAATCAATCAAATGAAAAGTTTCCATCTTTCTCAAACCATATCTCTACAGTAAAAATATGTTCGATCCCGTTTCACAAAAGTTACCTGAACATGCTTCGCTCGGACATAAGGACTGTCACCGTGAGGCAGCTTATGAACAACGTTGTACGGCGCCGGCGAGTCTTGTCTCTCTCCTCCTCTTCTCAGACTCATCATCCCCGAAACTCTCTTTGTTTCTCTCTCTCTCTCTCTATCCAAACTTCTAAATAAAGAAACCAACTTTCTCTCTCCTAAAAGCGGTAACAAACACCGTTCTCTATCTCTCTTTAGGTGGTGTGTGAGGAAATAAGATTATATTGTGGAAGAAGAAGAAGGAATCCAGACGGGTACTCGTCTTGATTCATTATCGTCAACTGGATCTAAAATACCGCGGGCTGGTCGTCTTTTAAACCTATGGAATGTGGCCACGTGTTTTGGCCGTCCCTATTATTCTCACACGACTTCGACTTGGCCAATATTTTTTTTTATTTTTATTTTTGTTTCTTCAGTTGGGTCGTATTGTTTTGATTTTTGTGAATAATTTCAATTTTTAGTCCATAGTTGTTGTTATCCTCATTTACTAACTGCCCTAACCATATTTGCCATATTGGCATATTGCTGAAGGTATGAAATATTTAATAACGATACACCTTGTCCTTAGTATACAAACTAGGAGTTTCTTGGTTTCTTGTAAAAAGGAATAAGATGGTTTGCCCACTGTTTTGTAGAATGAGGCGATTCTAGCTAGTGGAGATTTTCGGATTTTTTTTTTAAAGAAATTTTGAGATTTCTAGAAAATTGAAATGCAAAAGAAAAAAAAAAAGTGTTCAATGGTTTAGCCCACCATCTGATTTTTTTGGGGATAACATTATGCTGTTTATGCTTAAGATGCGGCTTTATATGAAAAAATGATTCTGATATTAAAATGTGGCTTAGTAGGCATTAAAATATATTCCCTATATTTTAATGATTATGAAAAATTGTCTATTCGACCAAAGAAAAAAAAAATTGTCTAGAATTTCAACTCAACGGTTATGAATTTCTAATCTTTGAAACGTATCAAACTAATGTACCAGACTAGATCGAATCCTAGTACTTAAGATTTTTTTTTTTTTACGAAGGTTATATATTACAAACGTGAAACGACTATCGTTCATCTGTTTTGTTTTTGGAAGGATGTAACACAAATATCTTTTCATCTGTAAAATGTGCATCTTTCGAAGCAAAGAGATGGGCCTACGTGTCAGTCAGGTGGCCATACGTGTCGCGCTTACTTTTCTCCCCCAACGGCTTGACTTTATTCGACATAATATTAGGTCCCATAGTCTCTGAATTATTCAGTTTCGCCCCTCTATTTTTGTTACCTGGTGTCAAAAAAAATTGCGGGTTTGTTAATTTTATATTTTACTTTTGTAACTCAAATTTGTATAATTGTACATAAACTATCAATTATATCGTGTGTTGTGTGCCATTTCTTATCATTGTATCTCCAACCGCAACTTTTTTTCTTCTTCTTTATTTTTGTTTTAATCAATTGCTCTAGCTTATTTTATGAATCCGGCAGTATCAAGCTTTACCAATGGATCGAATTTGAATCGAAAACAACTACAGGTGAAACGAGTTTTTTTTTTTTATTATTCTTTGGAAAAAGGTGGTAATTTACAGAGTGGAGAAAAAATAAAGTGATATATAGGCTATAATGGGAACATCATAATGATGATTCATTCCAAAGCCACGCCTCAACTTTCGTTGTTAGCTGTAACTATTACCAATTATGGCCCAATGCATAACATAGTGTATATTTATTTTGTAATATACTAAATATAGTAAATCCTGATCGCAGTATTAATTACTTGAGTATACATAATACTAGTACACTACACTATATACATGTGTTGATAAGTGTAAAGAATCGAAAGTTTTCTCGGTGTAGAGCTAGAAATTGATATGTTGATGCAGTTGCAGCTAACTAATTACACATTTTGTTCGTGATGATTGAATGTTCAATCCATATGGTTTCTTAAAAACTATAAGAATCGATAATAAAGGAATAGCCAGTGAACGTTACTCTCAAGATATATAGGTTATTTGGAAATCAATTTGCTGTTACTAGCCAATAATTGAATTGTTTGTATATAGTGTTAGAGTAAATGATTTCGAACTAGTGCTTTCTGATATACGATATATATTATTTATATAGGACGCTCAACTGGACCAGCTTCTCAATTGTTTTGTTTAAAGATCCAATACGAACTCAATTTATTTTTTCTTTTTCCTTTTTTTGAATGTAAGCCTAAACTTGAAAACGTTACAAGAAAACCCCACAAAAGCCTTCATATGCCAAAAAGAAGCATCATTGCCTAAACCCACAAGCATTCACCATCAACACTAATTACTCTCCTTCTTCTTTATCATGTTTTTCTTCTTATTACCATCTCTCTATTATATACTCTTCCAGGTCGAATCTTGATCACACAAACCCCAAAAGACAAGTTTTTGTCTTTTTTCATTTGTTAAAAGAGGTTATTTGTCTAGTTTGTGTTTAAGTCTTCGATTGAGTACTCGGGGTAGGGTTGGATCGGAATCGGATCATTGATTTGGACCACCTGGCGACATTAACAAGAGAAAAGTGTTCGGCTTTGGCACGGTCTTGCTACGTACCGTCAACCACTACTTGTTCTGACGACATTATTGGTAAATCGAACACGAAAGTCGAAGATGGTCTTGGCTTCCGAGGAGGAGCAGGAAGACGACGGTGGCGGAAGCATCAGCCGTCTAAAAGACACGGCGGCAGAAGCTGCACTGCCGTATCCAGCGAGCCTTGCCGTCTCAAAAGCAACCTCAAGATCAAGACGGAAGTCGATAAAGGATTGGAACAGAGGAAAGTAAGCTGGCCAGATGCTCATGGCCAAGATATTGCTCATGTTCAAGAGTTTGAGCTTAGGTAATCTATACATACATTCATTTATATTTGTTGGTTTAGTTTTCCGTAACGGTCAGTCACAGATTTACCAGAAAAACAGAGAACTATCCAATTTGTTTATGTAAGAAAGATTATAATTTTTAGATTATAATTTTTGGAATCTGGATTCGTTTTTTACTCGGAAACCGTCAGTTACCGGTTTACCTTGATCCGGTACAAGGACACTAATCTGCGTTCGTGAAATTTAATTGCAGCGCGTCGGAGGATGGAGAGCATGCAGGACATTCTAAAAGGAAATATTGTGGTGCCTGTATAATCCAATGACATAGTTTTCTTTTTCTTCTTTTTCTTACCACTGTGTCTGAAATGAGTTGAATCTAGTAGCCAGTTTTTCGTAAATCCAGTAGCCAGTTTCTCGTTAATCCACCATTGAGTAACAACACTGAACGTAAAGTTAATCAAGATTCAAGACCTTTAACTCTGTTTGGACATAAACAAAATTCTATCGGATTTTCAAGAACCATTCTCCATCTTTCTGTTAAAAGTATTTCGTCTGTTCTGTAATAACATCACTCTAGTCTAATGAAGAATTAACAATGCCCAGAGTGAAAGACGAGAAAACAAAATCAAAAGTGATCTGAGAATTGCAAAGTTTGACGAAACAATGTTGACATCTCCAACAATTTCAGCTTATTATCAAGATGATGATGATGATGATACAGAGATATAAATTATCTCCAAGGATTAAACCATAAGACAGAAAGAATCATAAGCAAATATAAAGTCACAGCAACATAAACCCACAACATACCTTAAATTACCCCCACTATATTTAACTGAATTTCTTTTTCCCTGGTTTTGGTATTATAAACCCAGTTTATTAGTACAAGAACCAGGAAAAAGGTTCGTTTTTTTTTTTTAAACCAGTAATCATAATCTGCTAGATTTTCCTATTTCAGTATTTCATGTTTTCAGAGACATCGAAAGATTTTCTTCTTACTTGTGAATTGTTTTTGGTTTCTTCAGCTGTTCTGAGATGACTTGCCTTTCTTAGCTTTATTCTTCTCTTGGACCTTCTTTTTCTTCTCCTCAGATGTGATCCAATTGTATCCCCTTGGAATTGCAAATGGGTCTTGATCATTTTCGGCTTTACCAATAGCAAACCCTCCAGAACTCGAGCTTGTTGATGGACGTTGACTCGGTGTTTTGATCCATTGAAACCATGAGGAGGATGAGCTTGAGGAGGTCTGTGTTACCTCTCTAGGACTGTCCTTGACTGAAGAAGTAGGACTCGATGGCGGTGTAACGAACTCATCTTCTATAGCTTCTAGCTCTTCAAACTTCGTAAATGTAACCAGTACTCTAATCGTAGGGATCACCGGAATAGCAACCTGCGATACAAAGTCCAAATGAAATGAGTAAAATATTGTATAATATAATGATGTTGATGATGATCATTGAATGTTGAACAGACCTTGACTGGAAATGTTCCGGTTGGTAGTTTCGTGGTCATAAGCTCCCTTAAACGCCGAATTGCTTTGACTTTGTTTGCAAGGATATCGAGCAATGGAAGAAGTTCTTTTGTCTGTAATGGGAATCTCTCAGAAAGCCAAAGAATTGGTCTAAGACCTTTCTTGTACTCGTTCTCTCTGCTTCCTTCCTTTCGCTTACTACTTCCGCTGCCTTCTGATGTTGAAGCTTTTGATGAATCTCTCGTTCCCCGATTCTCGTCTCTCACAACAGTCTCAACCGTTGAGTGTCTTCCCGGTTTTATCTGTCTTCCACCACCAGATGGAGAATCATCGTCCCCAAGAAGATCGCTTACTTTCTCATCAACACAAAGCGAGTTTCTTGGAGGAACACTACTTCGTTTGTGTCCTTCCTCTCGTTTCCTCCACCCGCTAAACCATCCTTTCCTCTCCTGTTTGCAATATCCGTTTCCATCCGTTACTGGAATCTCCCGATCCTCCAAAGAATGCGGCTGAGAAATTCTAGAGCTCTCGCTGTTAGAAGATTCCTCCGGTGAATCCAGCTTGAGTGCTAACTCTAGCTGCCTCTTTTCATCTTCCGTCAAGATATCTCCAAGATCCTCGCTTTCAGTTTCGTTGTCTTGATTAGTGTTTGAGAAAAGCTCCTCATCGGTCATTGCTCCAGGGACTCTCCTTGATTTAATACTAACAACTACGTTGTGCATATCATACACTTTTGCTTTCCACTGCCCAACCATCTCCGTCTTCTCTTGACGCCTCCATGTCAATTGCGGGAAGAGAACAGCTTGAGTAACATCGATCCCTGGTCTGAAAATGCTCGTTTTGGACATCACAGCCACTTCTTGACGGACTTCTTCCTCTGAAGCCGGAGCACCAGCACCGTCCAAAGCATTCATAATCTCCTTATCCTTGTGTGAGATCATAAGGAGAGAACCGGAAGGAACTTTACCGTCCTCTGACCCATCTCCAAGAAAGAGTATAGTCTGATCCGATCTCTGAATCCTGAAACCGTCGAATCCAGCCAATGTCATATCCGCTCTAAGATTCGCACCCCGCTTCCAAATCTTATAAGTATCAGAAGGAGCCACTCTAGAAATGAAAGGTATAACCGAACTCTCGAAATGGAAAGTGATCTCCATGTAGAAATCTCTCATCCTATGCATCGTAGCCACAAGCCGAGGCAGTCTCCTGCACCATTTAGCCCAAGCCAGAGGCTGATAATGCCTCACGATAATCATCGCAATCCTCTCTTCTCTACCACAAATAGCTTCCTGTAGAGCGCTCCATCCATGCTCGTTCTGCAAGCTCCAGTCAGCTCCTGCAGCCATAAGCATCTCCGCGGAGGTCTCATCACCGAGCTTTACAGCTAAATGAAGAGCTGTGTCTCGGTTAACGACATCACGTCTGTCTATAACAGCTGCAATGGAATCAGCTTTTGTCTCTTCGGCTACAGAAGCTGCTTCGTTTTTAACCTCAGACGGGTCACGCATCCGCGGCAGAGCGGATAATAGTTTCTTGAGACCGGCGTAATCTCTGGTGACAACAGCTTGGTGAACAGGACTGTGACCATACTTGGTAACATCAATGATGCTTGCCATTTATCACGAGTGTAACTATTATATATGACAAACTTAAAGCTTTTAAGAAGACTCTCAATCTTTCACAAGGAGAAACCCAACTCAAGTCCCATCATCTTAAAACCTATGGAAACCCTCTCAACTGAGAATTAAAGTTTGCAAATTTAGGGAAACTAAACCTACTTGCAACTCTCCAATCTCAGTTTAGAGTAAGTAAATCTGCAAATTGGAGATAAAACCCAAAACCCAAGCAAAATCCCCCCAAATGCTAAAGTCGACAACTTTTAGCAGAGACTAGACACTAGGAAATCGAAATTTAAACCACTCAACACCCGAAAACAGATCGGAATTCGAGGTCACAGACAAAAGCTACGAAGTTGTTCCAAGCCCAGAGAAAAATTGCCAAAAAAGGAAAGTTTTTTTATATACCCAAATCAAGACGATTGAAGCTAATCAGCTAGACAGCTACACAGAAGAAAGGAAATTTTTTGTTCTTTTTTTCCCCTGTTGAAAGCTATTCTCGCCTTTCCCCGAATGGCAAAACAAAAGGAGCCTCGAGATTCGTTGCTTCCGAGGAATCAGATCCGACCCAGATCGGGGAAAACTCGCCCGAGAAGCTAGTTTTGTGGAAAGAAGAGATCTAGGGAAAGAGAGAAGGTGATGTGAAGTTGGAAGAAAGGAATAATTAGTGGCAGAGGAACCGAAGATGGACACGGTTCCTTTGGCTGTCTCCAATGGGAAGGTTCAAAGTCCGGTCGGGAAGCTTACATGGAATCTGGGAAGACCTATAAGATATGGTAATAACCGTTAAAAGCTCCTCGAGAGATTTTTAGGACACCCCCCAAAATTAATATTAAATTTTAATAATAATTATAAATATACTGTAGTAGATGGACAAATTCATATAATCAGATTTGGAAAATAATCATTAAATTAATGAATAAATATAAATTTATCTTAAATTATAGTAAATAGCATTATAAAAACAATAGATTGAACCAAAACAATTGTAATTGATAAATCTAGTGAATTATTATATAATATAATACAGATGTAGTAATCTTTCAAATTGGATGCAGAAGAGGCCAAATAGAAGGAAAAAAAAAGAGGAGGAGGATATTTCCTCGAATAATTCATTTAGGAAACTGCCAAAATAATTGGTTTTGAGGCAATTGGTGACTTGATTATCCCAATAAATGATTATTGTACTATGTTTTTCTTAGTTTTGCTATTAAACAAATCCCAAAGAAGTACATTATCACATAGTACTTGTCAAAGTTATTTGATGAGTGTGTAGACTGCGTGAAAACTTTATTGAGTGATGATTATTATTGGAAAATATAGCAAATTAATTAAAAATAATAATTTGACTTGAAAACATTTATTTATCGTTGAAAGAGTAAACGTGTTAGGAATCTCAACGTACAATTCAAATCGAGCTGAAATTGAAATTGAAATATATCAAAAATAAAATCGAACTTGACTTTTAAGATTTGGAAGCATGAAATGGAGTAAGTGGGTAGCTGAAGCCACCGACTTGTGCAATATCTACTACCAAACTTTAGATAAAAACTTGTGCCATTTTTTTTTTATCGAACATTATATTTGTGCCATTCTTTCTATCATGTGTACAAGACCGCCTTAATTTTGTATTAATTTTATCGAGCCACAAAATCAAATTCGTTGACACATAACCAAATTATATCATATGGAATAGTTGGTTGTGTACCATCAAATTGATTTTGTGGCTCGATAAAATGTAATGATTACACCTCTAAATATTTGCTCTTCGCGTAAACACTAAAGTTCGATTACGATCCAAAAAAAAAAATTAAACACATATAATATTCAATTTTTAAAAAATCAAACAAATAATAAAAAACTATCCAAGTCCACTTCAATTGTCTAAGTACAATTTGATCGGACCTTAGCCCACTTGAATTGTCTAAGTCCAAAACCCGACCCAGTAATACCTTACCCGACCCGGAATGATCTGAGGTCCAATCGTTGTTGCAGGAAAATGAGATAGATTCATCGATGCTTTTGGTTCTAATCGAACAATTAGGGTTTCGATTCGCAACTTGGAACCATATTCCGATCGGGTGATTACTTCTTTCCTTTTGTATTTGTAGATTCCTGAGATTTTTTGTTATTTACGATAATTTTACATGGTGAGAACAAATTCGTTGCATCGTTTTGTTGTTGTCTAAAATCCCTTTGAATTTTCTGTAGTCTGTTTGTTTCGTATCTAAATTCCGATGATAGTATCCTCAAGGAATTTTAATTTTTTTTTTAATTTCGTCTATGATTCGCGTGAAATACTTCTCTTTTGTCTAATGAGTCGCCCTTTTTCGACCTGTGTTCGTTTTTGTTGCTTTTGTGATCTTAATCTTAGTGAGGACGTAGTGTTTGCTATTGTTAAAATCTGGGGTTTATGTTTCAACAAAGTCTTAAACACACAAATTCACATATCTCTAATCAGAGAAATCCGTTGCTAAATGTGCAATATCATGTGAGCATTGCTTCAGTTTCTTACTTGTTTATCTGGTTAAGCTGTTTCAGGATGGAGAACACAGACATTGACATGGTTATCACCATACCTGATACTCCAGATCGAGCAGTGCGACGTAATTCTATAAGCAGAGAGGTTAAGAGAAGACCACATTCTCCAGAAGCACCTGCTAGATATCACAGAGATGGTTTCCGTAATTATCTTGACGGTAGAGCAACACCAGTCCCTGAATCTGGGGACATACGAACTGAGAATCTGCGTCGCACTCGTGCTACTGGAAACAATGCTTTGTTTAGGAGAACAGCGGTCGAGAAGGATAAAGGAAAATCCATCTGCACTGATCCTGGCTCTGCTCCGCCGGTTGCAAATCTGAATCAACGTAATGGACATGCTGCATCGAGATGCTTACCATCTGGAGATATAAGAGAAATGCGCACGAGTAGTTATTGTTCTCCTTTACGAGGTGATCATAACTCTTTTAAGCTGCCTGAGAATAGTAATAAGGGTAAAGAAAAAGTAGACTGTGGCTCTGTTTCTAACAGAGAAACAGTTGACCTTTCCAGTGACAAAAAACCGAATAGAGGCACTAAAAGACTGGTAAGACATGGCTGCATATCTCCACATGCTATAGCAGCTAGAGCTAGACAAGCTGCTGATACCAATTCCAAGGATGCAGTTATTGTGGAACCAGAAGTAGCTCCTGAAACTGCATCTTCGATTGGCATAACTGAGATTGTTTCTGAAAATCATATTCGCGGAAGAGCTAGAAGAAAAAGACCAGACATTTCCCCAAGCAGGTAATATTTATTCCTTTTATTTCATTACATATTTGAATGAGTTTCAATTGGATGCTTCTTTTTTTTTTTTGGTGCTAAAAGAGTTTGTAATGTTTGTATCAATGCAAATAGGGTCGCGATTAGAGATGCCTCGATGGAGGGATGGGTTAGTACGCGGAACCGGAGGGATGAGAGTGACACACGTGGAATTTGTAGTTCCGTTTCCAGACTTGATGTACAGGAAACAAGTGTAGTTGACAGAGAAGCTAGACAACAGCGGCGTCGGAAAAATGGATTTAGTACTTTGAGAGCTTCGAATGAGCCAGAAATTTCTGTTATTGGATCTTCTGGGGAACCATCTAGTTCAAGGCCACAGAGTATTCATAATCATCATCAAAGACAAGGCGCACAAGTGTTGGAAATTGATGATTCATCTCCTGAAGTACGGGTCTTCCGGGGTCCTAGACGTGTTGAAAACGATGAATCTGACGTGAACATAAGTCAAATTGAAGCAGATGAGATACTGGCCCGTGAATTGCAAGAACAGCTGTACCAAGAAGCAGTGATTAGAAACGAGCAGGTACTTTTCCAGGTCGTCCATTTTTTTTTGGATATCCTCTATATGTTCCATCCTTAATGGACTTATCTCGACTTCGTACGGTGTAACAGATCGACGAAAACATAGCCAGGTTGCTGGAACAAGAAGAGAATTCTGTCCGTGCTTCATCTAGTCATACTTCTACTCGTAATACCAGAAGCTCTAGTACCGTAAGCAACGAACTCTTAATTTTACCTGTGTTAGTGCTTCCTTCACCGGGTTCTATCGCTTTTAATGTGTTAAGATGCGAGCTGTCAAACATGGATGTGTTTTTTCTCAAACTTTCCACTTAAAAAAAAAAGATCATCTTGAAGATCTTAACCGTTGCTTATGCTAATGGATATAAATTACAGATTGAGGCTAATCCAAGGGGGAGAAGTCGGCTGGTAGCACGACTGCAACAAAATTCTCCAAGGAGGCGTTTAAATCCTCCACAGGCTCGTGCGCCTGTTAGAGCACCAGCACGGGGTAGAGGTCAGCGTTTAGGCCGTGCACCTGCTTCACTACACAGAGCTCTGAACCTCAGTTTTCCAAATGATATGGGCTTAGATTCGGTACTCTTTTTGATGAACTCTGTTTATATCTCGAATGTCGCGTGAAACTAAAAAATTAATTCTTTATTTTTGTTTTTTAATTGTAACAGAGACTGGATTTTCTGGAGGAACTAGAGAATGTTATTGGACACTCCATCAACAATAGTAATCTTCTTCATATGGATCGTGACTTTACTGAGTATGGTATCTTTTTATCATTTACCTTATGATCCTTTGATATATGGATTTTGATCTTTGGAAATTTTCAATGTAGAGATGATTACGAAATGCTGCTAGCTCTTGATGAAAACAACCATCGACATGGCGGCGCTTCTGCTAATCGCATTAACAACTTGCCAGAGTCCACAGTTCAAGTAAGTCAACGTTCACTTGTAAAATCCATTTTTTGTTGTTTTCTTTGTTCATATCGATGTTTTGGTATTGTTAAAGGTTTCCCTTTGGTGTTTGATGTGTAATTTACAGACCGCTAATTTTCAAGAAACTTGTGTGATTTGTCTGGAAACACCAACGGTTGGGGACACTATTCGTCATCTTCCTTGTTTTCACAAATTCCACAAAGATGTAAGACTGATTCAAATCAAAAACCCTTTTCGGATTATGAATTTGAAGAATTAACCATTGTTTTATGCGGTGTAAAAGATCTGTGTTTAATATGTATTGTGCAGTGCATCGATCCATGGCTAGGACGGAGTAAAGCATGCCCGGTTTGTAAATCATCCGTCACTTAAAACAAGGTTTGCTGATATTCTTTCTCCGTCGAGTTTGATGACTCATGAAAAAACGGGGTTTTACTTCCGTTTACGCTCGAGAAAGCGCTTTTGTCGTCATTTGTGATTATTCTCTTGGGTTTTTATACTATTATTACTAGAATCCTAGCTAAGAACTGTTCTGTAGACTGGATTTTCATAATATTAATTTTGGTTCCTTTTATTCATTTTATTTACTCGAGGTAGCAAATAGCAGGATACAATCATTTCAAAGAGGAAAACGGCATACAGTTTAGTCAACCTAACGAGAAACGACAGACATAACCTTTACCATATGATACTTCAAATTTTAATGCATAAAGTTATTCTTAGATGAAAATATACATGCATGGGATTATAGCTCCTCGTCAATGCACATAACAATTTAACGTCCAACCCCCTCAGTGACCTCCGGCGCCAATTCCTCCACCGGCACTGTCGCCAACTCCGGCTCCCCCGCCAATTCCACCGGCTCCACCGCCAACGCCTACACCGCTAACTCCACCGCCGGCAGCTCCTCCACCGGTACCACCGCCAACTCCTCCTTCGGCACCTCCTCCCTTACCGGCAAATCCTCCTTCGGCACCTCCTCCCTTACCGGCGAATCCTCCTCCCCCTCCAGCTCCGCCACCAACACCACCAAATCCACCGCTTATTCCTCCACTAAAGCCTCCAACTCCACCTCCAATCCAACCGCTACCACCTCCCGCTCCAAAGCCGCCTCCGCCACCTAGACCTCCACCACCGCCTAAACCGCCGAAGCCTTTCTTGAAGCCCTTCTTGTGAATGCCACCTTTGTGGAGGAATGGTCGAGGGTGAGGAAACAAGTGCTTCTCATCACCAAACTCTGTTTCTCCTCCCATTGTAAAATCTGTGACCAAAACACACACCAAAACAAAGGCACATGCCTTACGGGAGAATAAACCCATAATTATTGCAATTTTTTCCTTAAAAAGTAGAAGATATGTTTTCTTATGAGATAGCTTGTCGCATGGTAGTATATATAGAGGCTTAGAGAGGGATCGTGAATCGTGAGAGCACTAATTAATTGTCAGTGTGCATGGTGCACAGGGCACTGTACGTGGTCGTAATGAACCGGGTCACTTGGTTTACTTCTTGTTAGAACCAGCTCCATTTTTTGTTTATTCTTTCTTTTTCGTGTAACCAAGGCGTTTAATAAAATGGTCAATTATGATGTATGCGATTTTTACAAATACATATATGCACAGGATACACGTATACAACAGTAGTTCAACACATCTCTCACTCTTTATCTATATATCTGAATTCAGACATTTACTTAGTTCAGCATTAGTTCAACATATATTTGCATGTATTTTGTTTGGTATTTAATCGCGAGGAAATGGCAAAGAAGCCGGTATGGACTAAACCATGATCGGCCCGGTTCAACCTGTAAAAAAGCTAGGATATATTTGCTTTTGAGTAATAATAAATGATGTTTCACCGCTCATTGGACAAGTTTTCTTTCTTCTTCTTTTTGCACAAGTTTTTTTATGTTTTGTCTGCCCAACTGCCCTATTGATCTCATCCAACACAAAGAGAACAAAATGATGTAAATATAGTTGAAGAACTGGGAAATCTATGACACCAATAATTATATATGATTCATTCATTTATGTTGATCATATATTCATATCATAGTTATATTAAAATTTGATTCGAATGTTGTAGAAGTTCTTAAGACCACTAATAAGACATTGTTGTTTTGGCCAAAACAAGAAGCCGACTTTGAGATCTTGTGTGTGCGAGTTCTTATGTTGCATATCTAGAGAGCAAAGTCTATGGTCTGATTAAGAGAAAACAATCTTTACTAGAAAATAACTCAACTTGATACAAGATGTGGCCAACTTTTTCCGCTTTTTCTTCGGAGGACAGGCTATGTCAATTTATGGAATATTGAAATTGAACTAGTTAAACCCTGAAATGTGATTTCATTTATTTGTGAGCTACTAGCCTTTTAGGTGTCATCAATCAATGATGCAAACCAGAAACTAATATGGTTTCTATTTGACTTATTTCCGAAAGAACAAAGAGTTTTCTCTTCTTCCGAATTTTTAAAAGTAAAAAGAGACCTGAATATATGTATAGCTCATGTGGACACATTTTGACCTTTTAGTATACCGGTTGTTTACAAACCAGAAGTTGAGAGGAACGTACCGATTTGATTTGTTGGTTTAGTGATGGTTTTACAATTACCCGTTAGTTTCCTCCTATCCCGGGTCCTCAACTTCGGATCTTGTTGGATCCTTAATTCCATATCATGTTAGGGTGGGAATAAAAAAGTTTAGTAAGTATTAGGGGCATTGCGTAATTACTTGACTTGCTGGGTAAGTATCTTAATATTTGATAAGTCCGGAATTTCGATTTTCGTCTTCTGTGAACTCTTTTCTCAAATCCTCGAATTGCTCGAGACGAGCTTTCTCCGAAGTTTGGTTCTTCTTCCTCCGTCTGATCAACTCTTCTTTCTGACCGCTAGGGTTCCGATCAGGGCTCTTCAATAATGGCCGCCGCGATGGTTAGTTCGGCCGGTGGGTTACTAGCAATGCTCAATGAACCCCATCCTTCCTTGAAACTTCACGCCCTCTCATATCTCAACAGATTGGTTGACCAATTTTGGCCAGAGATCTCCACTAGTGTCCCAATCATGTATGTATTCTCTCTAAGCTCTTTTCTTCTTGAGTTTTTTTTTTTTTTTTAACTTAATCTGTTTGCTTGCTGGCAATTTCCAGGAAAGGTCGTGAAATTTGATAACTCTTGCTTCTTCTTGACTAGATTAGGTTACAAGTGATAATGTTAGCAAATTGCTCCAGTAAATTTGGTAGATTCGCAATGACCATTGTTACCATCTAAGTTAAGGATGCCCCCTTATGGAAATGATGTGGACATTTTGTTCCTTTGAAGTTGTAGAGGCTGTGCTTTTAGCTCCAGATCTTTATAGTGTATAGCTTGACTCATGAGACATTTTTCTTTTCTGTAGAGAGAGCTTATACGAAGATGAAGAGTTCGATCAGCATCAAAGACAGCTTGCTGCGTTGTTGGTCTCCAAGGTATAGTTTAGATTGTTTAATTTACATAATGACTGGTTGTGTATAATACTGAGTGCATGTTACAGGAGTACGTTATGATTGTTTCCCTTGAATGCTGGCAGATAGCGTTCTTATAATCAAGTTATGAGATTGTATTATACGATTTTTTTTTTCCTCATGATGATTGTTAAATCTTGTTTCATCTCAGGTTTTTTATTACTTGGGCGAGCTTAACGATTCATTATCCTATGCCCTTGGAGCTGGATCCTTATTTGATGTATCAGAGGATTCTGATTTTGTCCACACTCTTCTATGTAAGGATTTTGAAGCTTGTTGTTGTGAACTCTTTTTTCTTCACAGATCTGAGACAAAAGACAGTAGCTCAAATATCTACTGACTATAATCTTATAAAGTCAAGAATATACCGACCTGATTAAATGCAAGAATAAGCAAAAAGCTTGCACCACATATTGTCTATCCAATACGACTTGCACATCCATCTTTCTTTTAAGAAATTATGCAGAGACATGATACGATAGTTATCTGACTGTTCGATGTTGAATGTTTACTCATTAAACGCTTCTGTTTTGTTTTCAGCCAAAGCAATAGATGAATATGCAATTCTCAGATCCAAGGCAGTCGAGTCAAATGAGGTGGTGGACATTGACCCAAGATTGGAGGCTGTTGTTGAACGAATGCTAGACAAGTATGGACGCCTAAATTTGTTTGTCTTGATTTTTTTTTTTCCTGATCTTAACTTTCGTGACACGATTTTCTGTTTTGCAGATGTATCACTGACGGCAAGTATCAACAAGCCATGGGCATTGCTATAGAATGCCGGAGATTGGATAAGTTGGAGGAAGCTATCACAAAGAGCGAAAATGTGCAGGGAACCTTATCTTACTGCATCAATGTTTCCCACTCTTTTGTTAACCACAGAGAGTATAGACATGAGGTGAGTCTGGTGGCCACAGAACTGAATTTGCATAGATGTAGTATGCTTCTGATACTATGAGTTGATTAGAAAACATCTTGATTTGTCTTTACTTGCAAATATTAAGGTCATGTGGCTTTAACTCATTGCATCTGTTCGAAATTCTTTTTAGTTGATTTTATGCACTCTTGATTTGGGCATGATAACATCCTTATTTCATCTGATTCTTGCAGGTCCTTCGGTTGCTTGTTAATGTCTACCAGAAGCTGGACTCTCCTGATTATTTGAGCATCTGTCAGTGCCTTATGTTCTTGGATCAACCACAAGGTGTTGCAAGCATATTAGAGAATCTTCTTCGTTCGGAGAGCAAGGATGATGCTTTGTTGGCATTGCAAATTGCTTTTGATCTTGTAGAAAACGAGCACCAGGCATTTCTCATGCATGTAAGAGACCGCCTTCCAGCACCCAAGACCCGACCTGTAGAAGCAGTTCAAGGCGTAGAAACCTTTACTGCTCAAAATGAGAACACTGCAGGGGATGTTCAGATGACGGATGAGACTCCATCTCAGACAATTGAGCATGAAACAGATCCTGTTGATGCTGTGTACGCTGAGAGGTTAACAAAGGTTAAGGGAATTTTATCTGGAGAGACATCAATACAGCTGACCCTCCAGTTTCTTTACAGCCATAACAAGTGAGGCAGTTAATTTTCTCTTAAATTTGTTATATATATATATATATTTGTTTGTTTCTTATGTCGTTTCTTCCAGATAGTAACATGTTTCATTGTTTGTCTATAGATCGGACCTGCTGATCCTGAAGACAATCAAACAGTCCGTTGAGATGCGGAACAGTGTATGTCACAGTGCTACAATATATGCTAATGCTATAATGCATGCTGGGACGACAGTTGACACATTTCTCAGGGAGAATTTGGTAAACTTTTACTATCACTGTCGCTTGTTTTACTTGTTTCAAAGATCACTCTGTGGCATAATATATAATCTTGTTTAATTTTCCATTCATACAGGATTGGCTAAGCAGGGCCACCAATTGGGCTAAGTTTAGTGCTACAGCGGGATTAGGTGTTATTCATAGGGGTCACTTAAAGCAGGGTCGGTCATTGATGGCTCCATACTTGCCTCAGGGAGGAGCGGGTGGTGGTGGGAGTCCTTATTCTGAAGGTGGTGCTTTATATGCCCTCGGTCTTATCCATGCCAACCATGGCGAAGGAATCAAGCAATTTCTCCGTGATAGCCTACGCAGCACTAGTGTTGAGGTGACTTGTTTCTGTCTTTCTTCTGGATAGTCTTCTGTTATATCACCAGAGAAAATAGTCTTCTGTTTAGAGTAGTTGGTTTTTATTTGAAAAAATATGGGTGCAGGTTATTCAACATGGAGCTTGTTTAGGTCTTGGTTTGGCAGCTCTTGGGACAGCTGATGAAGACATATATGATGATATCAAAAGCGTGCTTTACACTGACAGTGCTGTTGCTGGGGAAGCTGCCGGCATCAGCATGGGTCTATTATTGGTTGGAACTGCAACTGAGAAGGCAAGTGAGATGCTCGCTTATGCTCATGAGACACAGCATGAGAAGATAATAAGGTAAATTAGAGTCTGGAGGATACTCTTGGTTAAATGAGTGGGTGGATGGTAATTTCTTTTAGTGTTTCAATAACCAATATCCGGTATTATGTTTTTAGGGGACTGGCTCTAGGAATAGCTCTCACAGTTTATGGCAGAGAAGAGGGAGCAGATACATTGATTGAGCAGATGACTAGAGATCAAGATCCTATTATCCGTTATGGTGGAATGTATGCACTCGGATTGGCTTACAGTGGAACCGCAAACAACAAAGCCATCCGCCAACTTCTGCACTTTGCTGTGTCTGACGTTAGTGATGATGTCAGGAGGACTGCTGTTCTTGCACTTGGATTTGTCTTATACTCTGATCCAGAGCAGGTCAGTCCATATTCTT